ACTTTATTGTTTTTCTTTTTCAAAGAGGTCTCAAATATCACCTGAAATGACGAACAGTAATGTGGGAAATTCTTTGATTTAACCTTGTGTTGGGCCAAGTCATCATTAATGATGACCGCAAAAAATACCCCTGACCCTTTGACCCTATGGTATCAGAATATATGTTTGTTTGTGTTGTTTTTTACCTTTAAAAGGTTTACAGCTGCACTTTAGGGCAGTAGTATGAATCAAGCATTAGACAGCAGACAAAATCTTTAAAACTGATCATTTCTATAGTCGTCCAACTTTCTTAAACACGGGACCGTCTCATGTTTCCACCATCCGTCATACACATGAACTCTGTGCAGGATTATGAAATAACATCTAATGGGATTGTAAGTGGCAGGTTAATTCTTGCCCTTTTGGAATGATTCATTCATTTAACTTTAGCTGTAACAACTCATATTCCTAGATGTACAGTAATTTCCCATAATAGCAATAGAATAATAGTTCTACTACTTTTAATAGGAAATAAGACAGCCTCCAACAAGAACATAAAAACTGGTGTACAGGAAAGAAAAATGGAAACCCTGTTGCTCTTCAGTGAGTAGAAGAGTAACTCTGTAACTATGATCTAACTAACAGTTCAATCAAAGCTCTATTACTCTACACAGTTTCACCTCAGAAGTCTCTCACAACATTTAAACATTTAGAATAACAATCTCAAGGCCTGGATTCTTGACTTTCTAACTAACAGGAATCTGAGTCCAGATTAATAGAACTCGTTTCAATCACAGGGATGTGTGCTTTTGCTATTATTTATCCTGTACATAGCTATGTGCCACAGCAGGTATGGCAACAGGATCATGTTAAAAGTATGCAGATGACCCTGTTGTTAGCTGACTCTAGGACAAAGCGATCAGCTGCAGCACAGTCCGTGATGACTTTGTGAGTGGTGTGATGAGTTGTATGTTCAGGTAAACATATTCAAGACAAAAGATGCCGTTAAATTTAGAAAATATACACAACAGGTCAAGTTAACTGAAGGTCAACTGCACACTTAACTTTGAAGCAAACTCTGCAGCTGTGTGTGTATTTATTCTTTTTTAAGTCGCCTGACACCTTTGATTGTTGTCTGTGGCTGATGGATGACTCATCTACTGCAGATGGAGTCAAGGAACTGTTGAGCTGTTGTCCTGAGAAGCACACACTCGTGATATTTTTCAACAAAGATTATACGATTTTGCAAAAAGTTCAAAGACTGATAAGTTGTTGATACCAGCAGTAAACACAATAAGCTCTAAAGATTTAGCAGTTTATACATTTTGGTTGGAACCTGATGTGGAAGTGTTTGATACTGGATGTAGTTCTCCAGTCACTAAACACTTTCTGCAGTGTATATTTTCCTCTGGACTGTAGTGCTGTTTATCTAACTAAATTACTGTTGTGTGAAATTTGTATAAAATGCATAGAGATGATCTTTTCTTGAATATAATTAGAAAGCCCACAAAAAAATAAATGTCAAAGTTTCTGTAGCGCCTACTTTCTGTGGTCCACACAGTGTCATTGTTTTGGTTGGTAGTTATGGACAGCATCATGTTCCTGGTGTAATTAACTTTCACTATTTCTGCTTTAAAGTTATCTTTGCTTTCCGAGTTTGGTTTTCATTTTGCATGGATCAGTAAAGGCTGTAAATGTACCTTTTCCGCCCACACCAAACGTTTTTGACAATTACCTTTGGATCCTTGTTTTGCTTAAATGTTGATGTCCACGCCCTTTAAGACTCAAAACAGGTGAGACAGCTACTGAGTAACAACGTGAAATGCTGGAGAGAAACCAGAAAAACAACAGCTTTATCTGCCATTGTAAGTTTACCTTGAGAGAAAGTATGTGTTAACACTCCCTCTCTTGTGAAATCCGACACAGGAACAGCGACACGGTAACTGCATAGACTGTTCGTGTCTGTACAGATCTGATTGGCTCCAATGATAAATGTGTTAATCCAGCTCTGACAGCACGTATGAAATTATAACAAATGTTTTCTTTGGTATAAAACTAACAAAAAAAA